TGGATGGGTCTTCCAGCATGACAATGACCCGAAACATACTGCCAAGGCAACAAAGGAGTGGCTCAAGAAGAAGCACATTAAGGTCATGGAGTGGCCTAGCCAGTCTCCAGACCTCAATCCTATAGAAAATCTGTGGAGGGAGCTGAAACTTCGAGTTGCCAAATGACAGCCAAGATACCTTAAGGATTTAGAGAGGATCTGTAAAGAGGAGTGGACCAAATCCCTCCTGAGATGTGTGCAAACCTGGTGACCAACTACAAAAAACGTCTTACCTCTGTGCTTGCTAACAAGGGTTTCTGCACCAAGTATTAAGTCATGTTTTGCTTGGGGATCAAATACTTATTTCACTCACTGAAATGCAAATCAATTTCTAACCTTTATATAATGTGTTTTTTCTGGATTTTTTGGTTGATATTTTGTCTCTATACGTTAAAATAAACCTACCATAAAAATTACAGACCCTCCATTTCTTTGTAAGTGGGCAAACTTACAAAATCAGCAGGGAATCAAATAAATATTTTCCACACTGTATCTATTGCTGGTTCATATGAGGTGCCCTGCAGAGTTTTAGACCATCTCAATGCCCTCTGTGTGGAATGCACTTTGCCATCTTCAAAGCCTCTTTGTTCACTGCTGCTGTTTTCCCTGACCTTAAGGAGCAGAGCAGATAGCAGCTTACCAGACAGAGAGAGGAGGACATGGAGAATAAGGGGGTGAGAAGGAGGAAAAACAATAGGGCTTTGTAGTCAGCCATCCATTTTGATTCTCCATCAGTCTGTGGTCTGTTTCTGACCCTGATACCATTCTGCAATGCCCATTATCTGCATATAAAGCACAGCATTTCGTCACATGTGTGCAATTTTAAAACCAGTTTGCTTTTTGCTCTTTCAGACATAAATTGTAACTGAATTTGAATAAAGGTAGCAAAATAGGATTCAGAATTGAATTTAAGAAAACTAAATTAAAATTGAATTCTTATAATTGTTTCAAGTGTAGTCTTTTTTAATAATTTATCGTTATTAGTTGTAATTCTAGAATATAATGAATAACAATGATAATACAGTATATAATAAAATTATGTAACTTGTAATTCATAGTAATTTATTAGTATGCATTACCCTTAGAAATATACAAAAGACAAACATATATTTATATGTGCATAATATTTATATAATTTTTATTTAATTTTATGGATGTCCATGTTTGAGAACACTTCATTTCCCAGAAAGCTTTTTTACATTTTTGAATTTTAAATTTAAAATAGTTTCATGGCAGTACTTACTAATAAAGTTACTAAAAGAACAGTATGATTTTTTGAAAAATAAAATCATTAAATATTAATAGTTAAAGGGGTCATATGATGTTGCTAAAAAGAACATTATTTTGTGTATTTGGTGTAATGAAATGTGTTTATGCAGTTTAAGGTTCAAAAAACACATTATTTTCCACATACTGTACATTATTGTTTCTCCTCTATGCCCCGCCTTTCTGAAATGCGTCGATTTTTACAAAGCTCATCGGTCTGAAAAGCGAGGTGTGCTGTGATTGGCCAGCTATCCAGGCCGCCGCTCACTCAAGCCTGCCGTGTGTGACGCTGTGTGTTTTGTTGTGAAAGCGAAACTACTTTGTTTGGCCTTCCAAAAGAGGACTCAGGAAACAGTCCTCCATAAAATGTGCTGCACACATCTGAATATTTGGGTTGAACTGTTCTGGAACAGTGTTGTAAATACAACTTACCCACTGATCTAGTCGTGTCCTCTTTTGGAAGGCCAAACAAAGTAGTTTCGCTTTCACAGCGTCACACACGGCGGGCTTGAGTGAGCGGCAGCCGGTGGGCTAGAGAGAGGAACGGCTGGCGGGCTTGAGAACAGCGCAGCCGGCAGATTTGACGAAGGAGCGGCCGGCAGGCTTGCGGCAACCACACAGATCTTCTTTATGCACCAAGAGCTTGTAACACTCCAAAGAAAAAGGAAAAATTTAAATCGCATCATATGACCCCTTTAATAAATATTAATAGCTTTTATAATAAACTATTTTTCCAAATTTGTTAGTTGGTCAGTGTTTATGAAATTATTCATGTTCTGCTGCAAAACTTGTGTTGAATGATTTAAATTCTTCTGTTGAATTTCTTAAAACTGCAATTCAGTAAATTCCTCTTCTGTCAGCTCAGCATCCTGTGGGGCATGTGGCCAATTCATTCTAAGTGCCCCTCATGAATTGAAAGGGAGACACTTCTCTTATATTCTGAATGTTGCTTATCCTTGGTCCTCATGTATTAAACATAATACATCTCTAACAAAAAAACTATGTTGCCTACAGAGAGAATAATAAACTGTACAGCTAGTGTTGTCAAATAACAGTTGCATACACAGGCTCATCTTCTGGAGCACTTTTAGATGTACAGACATTTTGGAACTGTTTTCTTTTAAGTCGTGTCTATAGAGGAAGTATTTTGCATTCGCATCTGAAACAGGAAGTTGCCCATGCCCCCCATATTCATCTATCTTTAGAGTTGCTAGCTGTGATAAATCCCATCCTGCAGAAGTGTGTGAAAGCATTAATGCATTTCATCCGCAGCACCCACAGATTCATCTGTGTATGGTGCAATCATATTTATGCACAAAAACCAACAAAGAGTGATTCACACATTTTGATAAATGTCACAAAAAGCCTTCCTGTTTGCACTATTGTTGCATAAGTCAATCATGGCTTTTGTCCCAGACTGCAGTGAACGCCTAGCATGATGGTGCTGCCATCGTTCAGTGGCTCCCACAGTAGCCATGAGCACAGCCCAATTAGGATGCGTGAATCATGAATAGGTACTAAAATAGGGCTGGCTTTTCCTTGAAGTGTCTCTCAGTCTAATTAAGGAGAGCTCACAGTCACCCTAGTTTGTTTGAAGTTCTTTTCCAACTGTGCAAGACGAAGGTTCCTTTGGATTTATTCACAGAGTTGCATAACAAACGCGCTCTCTTCCTGTATAGACCTGCAGCAGTATGATGTTGCCTCTTAGTTCTCAATAAAAGTATGCCAGAGTATGAGAACATTCCCAAAAGCAATGCAATTAAAGTATCATAACAAGAGAGAACAGTTGTGAGGAACATGCGTCTTGGGATTGTGTTGTAGTGCTGCCCCCTACTGACACTCCAGAGAGTATTTTACTAAAAGGGCCATAACAATCATACATATGTTCTATTCTTGTTTTTCTAGCTTGAATCTGATTTAGTTTGTGCTTTTTTAACGATTCTGTTTTTAATCATCAGGGCAGGGGTCCTTTGTGCATATGCAGCCAATCAGAACCTGAGTTCTCAGCTGAAGAGCATGAGGAGGCTGGTGAAGAGTAACCTGAAAGACCTGCACACCTTCGCCAATCAGACCCCAGCAGTGAGTAATACATCCAGCACTATTACACTGGGATGGATGGATGGATGGATGGATGGATGGATGGACAGAAATGATTGATGGTCGGTCAGATAGATAGATAGATAGATAGATAGATAGATAGATAGATAGATAGATAGATAGATAGATAGATAGACAGACAGAAAACATTGATGGTTGGTTGGTTGTTGGATGTACAGAAAGATAGATAGGTAGACAGATAGATAGATGGATAGATGGATGGATGGATGGATGGATGGATGGATGAATAGACAGAGAAAAGATTGTTGGTTTGTTGTTGGATGGACAGACAGACAGAGAGATAGACGATGGATGGATGGATGGATAAATGTGTGAAAAAATGGTCAGTTGAACAGTTTAGATATCATTATATTTGATTGCATAGTTGCAAAAGTATTCATCCAGTATATGTCTTAGTACTGGCAAGCGAGGTTCTGTTTGCTAAATATATTGCTGTGTTGTCTCCCCTTCAGCAAATTGATTACCTGATCTCCAAGTATGACACCGTGAAGCAGCATGTGCTGCATGACCTGGAGAGTAAGTATGCTATAGGTCATCTGGAGTGGAATGGAAGGTGTTTCTGATGTGAGGACTCATGTTGTGGTCTTTCTTCAGATGTAGGTGTGATCTTGGGTGGACGGATACATGAGGAGTTGGGAAAAGACGTGCAGCCCGCCCTCGACGCGGCTCTCAGCATGACTGGAAGTATGTCACTCCCCTTTGTGTTTTTTTTTTCTTTCTTCTCTTTCTTTCACCTTTGCTGGGAATACTATTTATCATAATATATTATATATCCTATGAGAATATAATGTGGATATTCAATCCATTGCTTTTTGATGGTGTCTTATTTCACTGTTTTGTCTTTGATTTGTTAGTTAAAGTGGAGAAAGCCATTAAAGGTAAACTGTAATAGACTCTTACTGGTCCTTCCCATACCTATCTGTAACAAAGTTGTGATTGACTCTTTATTTCTTCCCACAAAACCTGGCCCAGTTATTTTCCCATGTGTATTCTTGAATCCTTCCTTGGTGGAACCTGCCCATCATGTGTCTTAAAACCAAAATTAAATGCACTGAAAGATTAAAAAAAAACAATCTCACCTTAATGGATAAGATTTAGAGTATTTTTAAATTAAAGATGCATGTGTGGATTTTAAATCCTTCAGAATTAAGTGTGCCTTGGTTATTGTCTCTGTTTTTGAATGTTAATTTATGTGTGTTTGCTCGTCTGTTTCCTCTCTTAGCAATGCGAGACACTAAGGATGCTCTAGAGAATGTGAGTTTGACCTTGGAGACTTTGCAGGAAGGAACAGTCAAGGTGCAGGCGAACCTCAGCCTGGTGCGTGGCAGCCTTAGCAACGCCCTCAACGATCCTGTCTGCACAGATGCACGATCATCTGAGATTTGCCTCAACATACGTAGCACCCTTCCCAAGCTAGAAATTGCAGCCAACTACTCATCGGTACTGAAATTATTTCTCATCTTCTCTTCCAACATATTGTCACCAACATGGTTCACAATTGTTTTTTTTTTTTAATTTTTAATTTTTTTTAGTTGCCTGATGTGACCAACCAGTTAGACAGAGTGAATGAAGTTCTAAAGACAGATCTTGGTCAGATTGTGGAAAAGGTACGATTTTCTCAGATTTCTCCTTACGTGTTTGCATAGATTCAGGACAGAACATATTGTATTTCACAGTGAAACATGATATTCAACAAGAGAAAATTATCCATTGAGAATTGATTTGATCATGACAAGTGGTCATACATAATCAAATGAATCCAAGTAGTTGGAGACAGGGGGTTGAGGTCAGTTTTATGTGTGTGTCTGGTTGTAGTTCTTGAAAAGGGATTTTTAAAAAACGAAATATCTCCCTTTGGAGTGGACTTTGAGATTTGTAACTTTCTAGATCTTTTTTATGCCCAAACATACACACTACACACTGACTAAAATGAAAAAAGTGAAAAAGCATAATAGGACCCCTTTAATACACGAGTTTCACAATTTGAGTTGAATTACTGAAATAAATGAACTTTTCCATGACATTCTAATTTATTGAGATGCACCTGTATATAGTTTGAAAATATTTACATGTATTTACATGTATATATTTTTATTCATATAATTTATATTATATATAAATATATTTAATATATAAACAACATTTTTCTTAAATATATACATGCATGTGTGTGTATTTGTATATACATAATAAATATAGACAGTACACACATATGTTTTGAAATCAAAAACTTTTATTTTGGATGTTTAATCGTGATTAATCGTCTGACAGCCCTAATATATACTGTATACACAAAAATTGATAAAATAAAAATAAGAAATATTACTTGAGCACCAAATTAACATATCAGAATGATTTCTTGCTGAAAATTCTGTTTTGCATTACAGGAATAAATTAAATTTTTAAAGGTTTTAACACAGAAAAACTTGGTGAGCATAAGAGATTTCTTTCAAAAACACACAAAAAAATCTTACCAACTACCTTTTGAACATTAGTGTATATTTGAATAAATTAAATAAGGTCAGTTTGGATTTCATGTTGGTATTCAAGGAGCATATCAGCTTTGCTCACTCTTACACCATATCATCTGTCACACAGGGCTTTGCATCATTCAATGACACTCCCAACTTGGTAACAGATCAAACCCGAAATATTGTGGAAGGTGAGTTCAAAGATTAAATCTAGACTAGAATTCAGATCATGCAGATTCATGCAGAATCCCCTTTGAGTAATTAAAAAATATGCATTTTCATATTTTCATTTACTAAATTTAAACAGTCACACTATTACTATTATTACTATAAGGTTCTATACATTAACATTAGTTAATGTATAGCTAACATGAACTAACAATGAACAATACTTTTATTTTATACTTTTATTTTTTATTCTAGTTGAACAGTAATTTCCTTATATACTAACGCATTTTTAACATTTACAGTTAGATTAATGCTTAGATTATGCTGTAAAATTGTACTAATGTTAAACTAATGTTATCTAGATCAAACTCATTTAAACTTTGCCTTACTAACAAAGTGTAACATGTAATCATTTAATTGATTCATTCATTCATTCAATTGATTTAAAGAACATATTACTTGAATTGTAATATTTAGCATATGCACATTCCTTGTAAGGCCTGAGGAGAATGGGCTTTTATGGAGCTTTTTTCCCCTTGCTCGCCAGGGCACATACAATAAGGCACAATTTTCTATAAATAGCATAGATTATAAAAAGTGTTTTACACACAAAAGTTGTCACTAAATCTGCAATGAAACATTTTCTAATACTGTTGTGGCTTTTCTGTAGGGGTGAAGGTTCTTCTGGACGATGTTGGATCAAACATCACCACTTTCACCAAGCTCTTCCCGGTTCACAGCACTCTGACCAACTTCACCAAAATGATCTCTCACACACACTCGCAGATCGAGGACATATACCCTCAGGTCGATCAGATGGATTTCTACAGGTACTTCAGAGGACTCAACTCGACTAGACAAAAACTTTCTTGGCAAAAAGTCTTTCATGTGCCCTTGACCTTGTTCATAATGTTTTCGTTTTCAGGTGGATCTGTTGTATTACCCTGTGCTGTATGGTTGTGCTTATCCTCGCCTTCAATTTTCTGGGTTTGTTGTGTGGTATTCTGGGATTTGACAGACACGCCACTCCAACCACACGTGGCTGTGTCTTTAACACAGGAGGCAACCTGCTCATGGCGTGAGTTTGAGTGTAATATCAGTCTCCAAACACATCAAATGGACCTCTTCTGCACTCATTCACACACTCTTCCTGTGTCTCTCAGTGGTGTGGGCTTCAGCTTCCTGTTCTCCTGGGTGCTCATGGGAGTGATAACAGCTCTGTTCTTGGCCGGTGGGAATTTAGAAAAGCTTGTGTGTGAACCCTTTCAAACCCGACAGCTGTTTAAAGTAAGAGAAACAACACAGCTATAGATGTTTTTGCTTTAATTAAAGCACAAGATGATCTTTGGATCATCTCTAATCATGCTGGAGAAAATGATCATAGAGCTTTACATGAAATTGTAAATTTATGCAGCTCAGGTGCTGCTGTCATTACGACAAAAGAGTGAGAAAACAAATACTAAGACATTCTGAAATTCATGTTTTTAATTGAACAATTCTCCCATATTAAAATAAAATAATAATAAATAGAAAAAGAAATGAACACATTTTTATTCATATATTGTGTATATTATATTATATATATTATATTTTTGTTTTAAATTAGAAAAATGCATAAGCATTTTCATTAGTGGGCTCAGACTTACGGTACCCATTGTATGCATGCTAAAAGACAAATAAATTCACTAAAAGCCTGCCTGTCTCAGATATGTCTCATTCAGTGTGATCATGTGTGTAGGTGTTAGATACTCCCAACTTGGTCAACTCTGCTTGGAAAAACTTCATACCAGGATACCTGTACAATGATCCTGAGATGGACCTTACAGCATATTCTCTCTACAGGTAACCTTGTCAATTACAATACACTATAGTAGTTTTTTATATTTTTTATATAAGGTTTTTTGATTAAAAAATATATATTTGGACAAATGTATGAATTTAGTGAATTAAAAACTCGATGTTGAATCAAATATGCAAACAAATTATGCTTGATATTTACTCAGACCTTACTTTCCTGAGCCATGTTGCAATAGAGTTGTCGTTGTCCTTCAGTAGTCCAGCAGATGGCAGCAGAGAATAAAATGTCTGAAATGAAAATATTTTTCTCTTCTCTTTTGCAGTAATTGTAAAGACAACAGAGGGATTTACTCAGCTCTTCATCTGGATAAGGTCTTCAACATCTCGGCCTTCTTTAACACCAGTGTTGTGAGTGGATCAAGGCTCTGTTCATGTGCAATCACAACTAAAATCACTCTGACATTTAAAGTCCCTCTCTGAGATTAGTGATGCTACTGTTTTTTTGTTTTTTAAAGAAGATATTACCTTTTATTTACCATGCATCATGCTTTTTGAGTAATTTTTGAGTCAGTCTTCTTTTACTCTGAAGCTGATTAATGCCGCCCCTGATGCCAGGACATGTATCCTTCCTTCTAATTATTGAGGTTCGAGGTTCAGTTTCTGGGGTAATAGCCTCCATCACCACAGATGTGTGGATTGTGTCTTAAAGGAAATGCACACCATTCACTGGTTTGTTGAGTAACACTCTTGAAAAAAAATGTGAACGGTATGTTTTTCCAGTCCAGTGTTGTTGTTTTTCTCTCTGTTCTTTGGAACTGGCAAAATATCTTAAAGGGGTCATATGATGCTGCTAAAAAGAACATTATTTGGTGTAATGAAATGTGTTTATGCGGTTTAAGGTTCAAAAAACACATTATTTTCCACATACTGTGTATTATTGTTTCTCCTCTATGCCCCGCCTTTCTGAAACGCGTCGATTTTTACAAAGCTCATCGGTCTGAAAAAGCTGTGTTACGTCCCTTACCATATTGTGATGCTTGTGGCAACCACATGTGACGACCCCGGGCTGGACTCCGCTTCGTCCACGGTGAAAGCCGATCCGGCGATGGACAGCGCGAAGTTGAAGTATTTCCTCAGCGACCAGCAAGTATCAGCTATCATACTCTTTTGGAAGACCAAACAAAGTAGTTTCGCTTTCACAACGAAGCACACAGCGTCTTCACGACATGGCGGCAGCGGCAACAATACTACAGCGAGAATAAAAGTTACGCCTTCTTTCTTTGCGTGAACATTTGGGCGGCGTTATGCAAATCTTCCCACATAGTGACGTAGACGTGGGGGCGTGTTAGAACGAGCCGTTTTAGGTAGGCGTGGTTGACTCTTAACTTTTATAAAGAATATCTCTTTGGATTTGAGACTTTAGTCTTTGCAACTTTACAGATCTTCTTTATGCACCACGAGCTTGTAACACTCCAAAGAAAAAGGAAAAATTTAAATCGCATCATATGACCCCTTTAAAACGTTTCATGCATAACCATTTGAAATATTTTATATAGAGCATCTGTAAATTCCTTCACTTCAGCAGAAAGATTTTTGTTTTCACTTAAAAGCTTTCAAGCCAGCATTCTTGATCCAGTGTCACATAGGATCCAAAAATCTGAGACCACATTAAATGGAACATTCTAGGATTTTTATGAAATGTAAAATAAAGAAAATAGTGTGGACTGCTTTGTACAGACGGACAGATGTTTTGTGCTCTCATACTGTAGGATGCTTATTAGATTTTCTCAAATCATGCAGGAGAACATAATTATTAGGTGCTAATTTAAAAAAAAAATTTAAATAAAAAATTTAACAAAAATGTAAATATCATAGAATAATAATAAACAGTGACGTAGACGTGGGGGCGTGTTAGAACGAGCCGTTTTAGGTAGGCGTGGTTGACTCTTAACTTTTATAAAGAATATCTCTTTGGATTTGAGACTTTAGTCTTTGCAACTTTACAGATCTTCTTTATGCACCACGAGCTTGTAACACTCCAAAGAAAAAGGAAAAATTTAAATCGCATCATATGACCCCTTTAAAACGTTTCATGCATAACCATTTGAAATATTTTATATAGAGCATCTGTAAATTCCTTCACTTCAGCAGAAAGATTTTTGTTTTCACTTAAAAGCTTTCAAGCCAGCATTCTTGATCCAGTGTCACATAGGATCCAAAAATCTGAGACCACATTAAATGGAACATTCTAGGATTTTTATGAAATGTAAAATAAAGAAAATAGTGTGGACTGCTTTGTACAGACGGACAGATGTTTTGTGCTCTCATACTGTAGGATGCTTATTAGATTTTCTCAAATCATGCAGGAGAACATAATTATTAGGTGCTAATTTAAAAAAAAAATATAAATAAAAAATTTAACAAAAATGTAAATATCATAGAATAATAATAAACATAATATAAAAAAATATTATTTGAAATTTAAATAAAATAGCATTTGGTATTAATGAGTTATGTATTTGTATTCTTTATTTTTGTAATTTTATTATATATTATATATTTTTATAAAATAATAAAAGTAAGTTCATAAAAATGTCCATATATATCTTTCTTTCTTTTTGTAATATAGTTGTTATCATTATTTACTAATGGTCCCACTGGTCAGACTGTATGTTCTAGAATATTTCCTCATGTCAGAATCTTATACAGAGCCTCTTTTCTTTCTGCAGTACTCCAAGGATGTGTCGAGGAAGTTTGAAGGGATGAAGGTGGACCTGCGTGGCATCATTCTTCTGGAGTCAGAAGGCAAACAGAATCTCATCAGCTTCACTGAAACTGGCATTAATGAGATTGACTTTGCTGCCTATTTGGAGGAGGTACATACTTGAACACATTTTGATTCAAACTTTTAAACCATAGGCTTTGCAACTATATCCTGTGGGTTCTCATGTGTTTCTGCTCATCTTTTCAGGTTAATAAAGGAGTGACTCTCATTGATCTAGTTGATTTCGCTAGTCAACTTGATGCTCAAGCTGATCAGTTGGTAAGATTTATGAGGTTTAAAAGATTTATGTGTGGTCTAATTTTAAAAAAAAATGTAAAAGGAGTTACAGTGTAAAATATAATTATTCCATATTTTATTAATATTACTTGAAATTAGTACCTGTATGAACTTTTCTGGGGCCGATTCTTCTTTGCCCTGTATCTCTCTCTTTTGCAGTCTAAAGGGACCTTGCAGACCTCATTAAAGGGACACGCTAATACTGTAAGGCAGATCCACATCCAACAGGTCATCCCGCTGGAGCAGTCCATGGTAATCTATCCCTGTCTCACTGATGCTAATTTCATTGATTACGATCTTATCCATGAATGGTTCTGTTGAATCTTTTCTCATATATAAGTGGTACTGATTGCAAATGAAATGCGTCTGAAAGATTGAAAGTTCATTTTTCTGTTCGTATCCTGACTGATTTTCAACGATCTCTTTTTTTTATTTTCTTTAACACATTCAACCTGATTTATTGCTTCCAAGAAATATGTGAAAGCAAGGGTAAGCCTACCAGTAATAGCTGCATAACCTACAAGTTGTTTCCTCCTTTTTCTGTGATAACATCATGAAAAAAAAACAAGCAGCTTCATCCTATCTGTGCTATTGACATTTTTTAAACTTCCAAATGTGTAAATTTGAATATTTACAGATTCATAAACTGGTCAAAAGTGAAGTGTTGAATTTCTGTCCATCTAGTGGCATCAAACAGAAAATTGTGATGTTTTCTGTTGTTTTCACACCATTGGTTAAAGCATTTGCATTTGCAAGACTGGAACATTTATTTTCCAGTGCATACTAGTTGCTTTACCAGTTAGATGTGATCTATATGAGATGTGAATTATAAAGTTCATCAAATGATTCCCACTGTATGCTAAATGTTTCATATACTACAACAGTTTTGTGTCACATTCTATATTTATTTGTGACATAATGTGCATGTGATGCATGTAATGCAACTATCAGGTTGCATGGCATTTTGTCACCCTGCTGATTCCCTTGAAATGTCATCTTCTGTTTCAAAAATGCCGTTTTTGTACCTTTTTATAAGCATTTCAGATTATAAATCATTTGGACATGATTCATGCTTTCTGTGTGTCTATTATCTTTCTTATTAAAGAGCACACTTAATCAGAGCATCAGACTTCTGGAGAGGACATCCTCAGACCTACCTGTAAGTTGTTCATTTTAAAACCAAGCTCAGTTTAAAAATATCACAATAGATGCATTTCAGAACTGATGCATTTCCAATGAGCAGTAAACACATTGGTTTTTAGGTCAGAGTTAGAGACGTACTAGCAGCCGTTGATGCCGCCCAGTACCTAATTTCCCAAAATGCAACATTTGTGATCAATCAGGTAATGTGAAAAAAAAAAACATGTCTGAATGATTGGTGCATAAGTTGTATTGTACTGATGGTTAATACTGTATATGCTCAAACAGGAAACCGAGAAATACAAGCAGACTATTATTGGCTATTTCAAGCAGTATATCGACTGGATCAGAACATCTGTGAGTATTTTAAACTGTATTATCTATCAGAAATAGTATTCATTTTAGATTGGTGGTGATTGGTCAGTTCTTCTGCATTGTTTTTGCTTGTAACCCTTTTGTTTTGCTGCCTCATTGTAGCTGGCCCTGGAGGTGGCTACCTGTAAACCACTCAGCAACATTGTGGACACGGCCGAGATCCTGGGCTGCAGTTTCCTGCTGGATTCAATGGTAAGATGGCCATCAGCACTAGAACCACTGGAAATGAAATTGTTCTCATCGTCATCTCATGCCCTTCCAACGGCATTATATTTTGACATCCATGAAATAAAAAAGGAGTGTTCGGTTTTAGATACAGTTAATGTGGATGGTGATTTATACTGCCAAAGCTTAAAAGAGTGCAAAAGGCACTAATAAAAACAGCATATAAGAATGCCAAACTACTTATTCACTATATATTGCAAGTCCTCTGAAGCATTTTGTGAATGGATTTTTTTTTTTTTTTTTAGAAAGAAATGCTTTTTTTTAGTACCAAATCATCATGTTAGAATGATTTCTGATGATGTGACACTAAAGACTGGAGTAATGGCTGCTGAAAAGTCATTTTTAAATTCATTTTTAAATATTAAAACTGAAAATATTTATTTTGAGCTATAATAATATTTCACAATATTACTGTTTTTACTGTATTTTAAACAAATAAATGCAGCCTTGGTGAGCAGGAGACTTCTTTCATAAACCCTAAAAAATGTATAGACCACAAACTTTTGAATGGTAGTATACTGTATATCAAAGGCAACTTAGGACATAAAAATGTGAAATGCAGTTTTGGTGTAAGAGATAGAGGGTTGATAGTGTTGCTGACAGCATTTGAAAAAGTCAAGTTTGTAGAACACCCAGTCAGGGTGGGATGGGCTGCACTGCTGCGCTTTGCATGTGTGTGGTCAAAGCCCCATGGGTAGCCATGAGGAAGGAAGGAGGTGCCAGGTTTTATCTGAAATTATAGGCAAGTGTGTGTGGGATTTGTAAGCGGTCAGGGTGTTTGACCCCGTCCATGTGCGAATGGGGCCTTGTGTGTTTTACCCTTTCCTCTGTACGCCACTGCACATGTATGAATGGCACCAAAGCAACTGCATTCTATGATTGGGATCAGCTTAACTGAAGTGATCCATTTTAAGATTTAGTTTTGGATAGGATAGGACTTCTATGACGTTTACGTTTTCAGATTTTGCTCACTTCTGGGTACAAATTTGCCCCAAAAATGTGGTTAATTAGGTACACACACACTGGTTTCCATGTTTATGGGTACATAACCTTTCAAACACAAAACTTTCTGCATTTTTAGATTTAGATTTTTAAGTTATTTTCCTCCTGGGGTCCAACAAAAATGTCCCCACAAGGTCAAAATTGAGTTTTACTGCATTACTGTACTTGTAGGGAATACTAGGGCACACACACAAAATGTTGTACATCATAACCAGTAAGGGCAGGAAGCATTCAGGCTGCTAACTACCTGTAGTAATTAGTGGCGAGCTGCTCTTTCCGCAGACACCCAAAGATTGACCCCAGTATAATTCTCTGACTGCAGCAGGAATAACGTAAAGTTAAAGTTGAAGTGTTTAACCTCAGCCTGGGTGTTTTATGGCTGGTTTCACCTTCATTTTTATTTTAAGTTGGTAGTCAATTCAATTTATTTCAAGTTTATTTGTATAGCACTTTTCAAAACATATTGTTTCAAAGCAGCTTTACAGAAAATGCTTGTTACAGTTAGGAGGAATTCTGAGATGTGTGTGTCAAAGTAATATCCAAGTATAGTATCTGAGAAGGAGTAATATACAGTACAGTAATGTTACAATATAAGGATAATATTTGACAGTTTTGTATGTTAATCCAAAGCTGCCATCATCTGAGGTCTTTGTAAGTCGCAGTCAGTGAATCCTGACGGCTACTCATTTGCTTAAACTTATTTGTAAAACTTCTCAAATTTTTTTTCCTGTGGCTGGACATGTTGCATCCGATCACCCACTATGTTGGAATGTTAACATTTCTTTATATAGAAAACTTTCCATGCTAGAGATTCCACTTTTTCTGTATTTTGAAAAATCTTCTTGTCAGAACAAGTAAATGTATGGAGAGTATGTTGATCAAACGTGTCATTTATGGTTAAGCCGAGTGCAGTTTTTGGGTGGCTTTAATCTTGTGTTTATTTGTTGCAGAACACATTCTGGTTTGGACTGGGCTGTTCCACACTGTTTCTGCTCCCTAGCATTATCCTGTCTGTCAAACTTGCCAAGTTCTACCGCAGAATGGACACAGAGGATGTCTATGATGAGTAAGTATCCCAAATGCACCAAATGTGTGATTGCTATTTAAACAAAGTTCTGTCGCGACAACTCTCAGAGAGTTTAGTAATATACATGGAAATGTTAATGTGTCTTGGCGGAATAGATCTGCTACACTGCTGCTGCTGCTGCGGCAGAGCAAGTACCAAGACTTTCTACTGCCAATACATCCACAGACATGCTGCTGTGAGCATGTAAGACATACTGATGCTGCACATATAACATATATGAAATAACCCCTCATATATAGCATACACGAAATCACCCCATAGCAGATCTATACAGGTGGAGCTGGGGAAGGTGGAGGGTTTCTGAAGTGCGCTGCAAATGCTACAGCAAGCACTGGCCGAGTATTTGAATGTTAAGCAGTGAGCTCATTGGCTGCTGATACGAAAATAAACCAATCAGCTGTGCAATGTGAATAATGATGTAATTATATCAGATTGAGTTAGAACCTGCCCCATCTAGGGTTTCATGACAGAACTTTGGATTTAATATTGTTTGTATATTGTTTTACTCTTCTAACGAAAACAAATGACAGGACCGGACATAACTGTTTTATAATGAATAATATGCATAATATATAAAAGTGCAAATGCCTCATTCTTTTCTTTCTTTTGCCCTGAGTAGTTAATAAATCTTTTTTTCTCTCTCTCTCTCTGTTCTTTTTCTGTTTCTTTTCTCTGTTCTTTCTAGTTCCTCTGTCTCAGGGACTTGGCATTTCACGTTATGATAACCATTCTTGCTATTTCCATCTTTTTTCATCCTTCATCTTTCTGTCCAGCACTTTGCACTTTATGAGAATTACATGTATATATTGTACAAACAGTGTTTTGTTTTAGCATTTTTCGAGCATTCATGCGTTTACAGTCAAGAATCATTACGATTGACAAGTCACCAAGTGTCTTTACCAGAGACGTCCATTTTGACATCTGCGTGATGTTTCTGTACTCTACTACAGTGCATCTCTGTAACATTTTTGCTTGTCTTGTATCTTTTTAGCATTGAGACAATTCCCATGAAAACGTAAGATGTTTTTTCCCTCATACTTCTGCTGTCGACTTTACTGCTGAAACGACATCCCTTTCCTGTTTTGTACATACAACTTTCTGCTTAATGGTGCTGGTTTAAGCTCTAAGCCTTGGAATGCTTCTCCGGTGAAGGGCGCTGCTTGTGTTGGTGTGTTATCTTTGAAGCTCCCTTGTTTAACATGAAGGGCTGTTAAAACAGAGACCTTAAGAGCACCCCTTAAAACTATTACTGTACATTTTACAAGATACGATTGCAATTTATACCGTTTCATACTCTATCTTGCGCGTACATTTTTCAAGAACGCTTTAAATTGAAGCTTGTTCATAGTCGCATGCCATTTATCTCATGTCATATCATGCTTTGTTTGATTTTTGTCTATGTAATGTTTTATTTCAGTATGGAAATTGGTATTAATGGTTATTATAATGAACATTTAGAAGGTATCCAAAATCCTGTAATGGCAAGGTAATCAGAACCATATCCCCGTACACCCTGCGTGTGTTACGCTAATAAACTGCATGCATTGGGGAAACAGATCGATTGAGGTGATAATGAGGTGTCAGGGCTCTGATGCATGCACAATTTGAAATTGCCCTTTGCACAAGCAAGAACCTGGGAGTGTGAATTATTATTTTTATTCATTGTTAAACTAGTGCTTGCATGCTGGCTAATTCAACAGCAGTAATGCATAATTTGTGCTTTGCAGTCTTGCATGATATTTGAATTTATATTAACACAGCATGCATTAGATATTGCAGAATTTACTGACTGGCAGAATTTGCATTTGTGAATTTATTCAAATTTTTTCTACTTGCGTGACTCTTGAAATTCGCACTGGGCTGCTATGGCTATGAATGGTCTTTCTCTCTAACTCATTACTAATGGCATGTGTTTCAACAGCAAAACATGTAACAGAGGTCAGGATGGTGGGCTAGAATGACACAGAGCTTGTATACATACAAACACTATCATTCAAATGTTTGGGGTCGATGAGATTTTTTTTATGTTTTTGAAAGAAGCGAGCATTTATTTACGGAAGAGGTTTAGGGCCAAGCAATATTAAAAAAATAAAAGATTAAATATTAAAAAAAATAATAATAAAGATCTCGATATTAAAGTCATTATAATATGAGATTAAATGCGTTAAATTTGAAGAAAATGTCAAAATAAAATGTTGATTAAACTCATGAAATTTAGAGAATAAAGTCATTATATTTCGAGATAAAACTCGTTAAATTTCAAGAAAAAAAGCTGAGATAAAATGTTGAGAATAAACTCATTAAATTACAAGAAAAAGTCCTTAAATTTTGAGAAAAAAGTCGAGATCAAATGTTGAGAATAAACTCATTAAATTATGAGAAAAAAGTCATAAAATTTTGAGAAAAAAAACGTAACGAGTTTTAACGAGTTTAATTTCGTATTATAATAACTTTGATCTTGAGATGGTTTTATTTTTCTATTGTTGCTTGGCCCTAATCCTCCGTATTTATTTGATCAAAAATATATTAAAAACTGTCATACTGTGAAATTTTATTACAATTTAAAATAGATGTTTTCTATTTAAATATATTTTTAAAATTTAATTTATTTTGGTGATGGCAAAGCTAAATTTTCAGCAATCATTACTCCAGTCTTCAGTCTCACATGATCCTTCAGAAATCATTCTAATATGCTGATTTGCTGCTCAAGAAACATTTTTAACATGATTAATGTTGAAAGCAGTTGTGCTGCTTAATATTTTTGTGGAAGCTGGGATACATTATTTTTCAAGATGCTTTAATAAACAGAAAGTTCAAAAGAACAACGTATTTGAAATAGAAGTCTTTTGTAATATTTACTGACCCCAAACTTTTAAAAGGTAGTTAATGTATTAGCCTAGGTGTCATGAGTTTAGACTTAATATGTCTTACCACTTGTGCTATGATTTAATAAAGCTATGATAAGGTTTTTCACATTTTTTTAAGTGTGGAATTGCTTGATTAGAATTGAAAATTAAAATAGTGATACTAGGAAATATGCTGTAGGTGATAACGGAGAGTTTCTAATTGGCTGATTGGTTCTTTTCTGAGCCTAGTGCTATCACAGATACATGTAATTTCAGTCAGGTGGTAGCACATTTATAATGTGAGGCGTTCTAAATAAAAATCACCTACAGCACCTTTAATTATTAGCAATAGAGCTATATGTGTCATTTTGAAAGCCCCATCCTGCTCTTCTGTTGATGGGTTAAAGATGGATGGAGAGCTGATGGAGGCATCTCAGTGGTGTGTGTGGATTTTAAATACACTCCAGGCCTAACAGTTTTTCCCTTTGTGCCTCAAGCATCCCTACTTATGACACTATGACTCGATTCCCACGGGCCTCTGCGCCCCCGCGCCACGCCGACTGGTGACTCTGAGGAGGACGGTCTGTCTTGTAACTACAGAAAGGTACTGAGAGCTGCAGATGAGAGCAAATGGACTTGATCTTTCTCTCTAACAAGCATCTTCCTCCTGTCCAAATTGATTACATATAGTATGCATTTGTTTGATTGTCTCCTAACCTTTTCTCTCTTGTCTATGTATCCTCTATTGGCATGCACTTTAATATATTTCTGTTTCTTCTTAGTTTTTCTGTCATTACACCAACAGCATGTTTAGTTTTGCATCCCATCTTCTGAAGCATTCCGCCTGGATAACTGCTGACATTTCTGCAAAGCTCTGTGTTTTTTAGGGTCCATCACTAACCACTCGCCCATATCATTGTGATCCACCCATGTTTGACTTCAAACATTCCTGACAGCTCTGCAAACAGATAGATGCCAACACTCACTGTGTGTTTTGTTTCTTTACCTTGGTCTAAAATCTCATCTCCCCTCTCACGTCTCATGTGCACCAGTTCATTCGTATCAGTCTTTGCCATTTATCATTCATTCTGAAACTGCACAGCGGGTGTAATTCTGCAATATTTGTTTCTTTTCTCATGCAGTGATATTGGAAACTGGAATTAAACCTTTGTGGAATGTAAGTTGTTTAAACTGGACTTATTTTACATTAAACCAGTGCTTCTCAACCTTTTTGACCCCAAGGTCCCCCACTGTCCACAACAATATTCGAAAGCCCCATGATTTTTCCAGTTGTTTGTGATTTACTGGAAAAGGATAAGGATTTTTTTTTCCACAATTTCTACCTGATGAAATATTTTAGATCTAGAAAATTGTACATTCATTAAAAATACACAGAGTTACACATTTTTATTATTTTACATGACCATTCCAGGTCTGGAACATGGTTATAGTTAACTTAAAGTAAAACCATTTTAAAAAATCATTACTTAAATTAAAAAAACGTTAACTGAAATGAAATGAAATTAAATAAAATAAAATGTTAAAAATATAAACTTATATATAAACCTATTTCAGCTAGTTGCCAAGGCAAAATTTCATTTAGTTTAACCTAATATAATTAAAAGTAAAATGTAATAAAAACTCTATATGCATACTTTAAAAAACTAATAAAAATGACAAAAACTACATTTAAAATGAAATGTACAAAAAAAATGAATTCAAAATATTAAAAAACTATAATAGTGTCTTAATGATACTAAAATAACACTAGTCTGAAAATCACACTTTAAAATTTAGTTTCTTCATATATCTAGAAGGAACCCTGGTTCTTCAAAGAAAATAAATGTTGAGGGTGTGAATTCAAACAACATATGTCTTGAGTTTTAGTTTTAGGTTATTTGAATGCTTGTTTTGTCTTATTTTAAATCACCTTGAGGCCCGGTCGCCTGGTTGAGAACCACTAACAGAATAAAAAACTCATAAAAACTAATAAAAATATGGTATGCATAGTATGTTCCTCTCACTATGAATTTCTTCTTTACCACAGACTCTCTCTGTCAACGGCAGGCTCAGCTCTTAAGAAAAGGAAACTCACATACTTGAAGCTGGGACCTGTTGTCCATGTTCCCATCACATCAAGATGACTTTTATCGAATTGTTGTTGTTTTGACTATTTTGCACCCTTATGATTATAGTACTGTCTTATGGACCCCTCAACGAGCTATTCTCTGATGTCACATCCTGTCATAGTCAGGGAGGCTTCACAGTATATGGCTGTTTTAACTATTACACGTGTCTTTGTTTACAGTCATTGAGAAATCACGTGTGATGAGCATAACAATGCTTCGACTGCTGCATTCTTATTTTCCTTGTGTTTCCTTTTTTCTTTTTATAGTGCTTTTTAACATTGTGGAGAATTCAACATGTTGCCGAGTCTTGTCCACTGAGCGCCCAAATGGGTTTTTATTGAAACAGATCAAGCCAGCCACCCATGAGCCACAAATATTACATGTAAACAAGGATATGTAGGTGTTTGAAAACATGCTAAGTGCTAACTAGTGCTAATTCGGTACAGATAGATGTTGTCAAGCCATTTCGAGGGTGAATGCATTGTTGCCTTTTCAGATTTTTAGCTAGTGGTACATGTTAGCCACAAGTCACAAGAGCAGGTCTTTGATTAGTTTTACCTAGTTACTGAAGCTGAGATCACTAAACAACATGTGATACTGAGCTGTGGTTTGCCATTTAAGACATCTATATGTGTTTATGCTCACTTTTGTACTGAAAATTTAAGATATGATGCATCTGGATTTAGTAACACCCCTGAAAGATCTTGCTAGTTTTACATACTTTAGTTTCGCTGAATATATCAGTTATTAATGATATTTCGGTTCCTAATTTTGCTGATTTAACAACAGTTGTTCCCCAACACATTGTTGGATTACTGTAATCTACTGATTATTGCTGTGTGACACCAAATCTCGTTTCATTGTAGGTCTCAGGTTTTAGGGCTTTTTGTTTACTTGATATAACAATATTTGTGGACATACATCTGTCGATATGTGAAAATATTGTCAACTTTAAAGCGAGTGAATGTACCTCAGAGAGACATTTGCTTGTACGAGAGCAAGAGAAGACCACAGAGCCCATTTACGATGACTTTTACGGAGCCTATTTAACGCTGTCATAATCATTGACAATTACGCCACCAAATATTTCAACTGATTAATGTTAGAGACGTTATTTCAGGTGCTACATATTTTTGCTCAGATCCTTCACTCATTGTGTATATGACAGTGTTATCAGGGCCTCAGGTAAAATGTTGTACTTGATTTATATGCAGAAAGGTCCCGTCACCTCACAGTCTCACTGTTTTGCCATACCACACATAGCATGCGCATACTTGGTGTTCAAGCTTGCTCGAAGATGTTTAGTTGTGGTGGGCCTGGTTGTCAGTGCCGTTGGTTTTCAAGTCCATGTGGTTAGGCTGGCTAAAACTAAAATATTGTGAATAAAATTTCTGATGAAAAAATGTTATGGTGTTGTAAATTCCCAATTCAACCGCTGTACATAGCAAGTTCACAAAAGACTGATTACAAGAATAAAGAGAGGGATTATAAAAAATAAAAACAAGGAAATACTTCTATTTGTAAACAGAGTATAGCTTACAAAACCTTCAATGTCACGAAAACACTTTTTTAGCCTTTTTCTTTAATAAAGGGGCAATATTTGCACCCACAGAAATTGATTTTCATAGACGTCTTTACTATTAAGAGGGCTAAATAGCCTATATATAACCTATATATACCGTAATATATACTAATATATATATATATATTAGTCTATAATTTTGACAGTTCAATCAAAAAATACTAGATAGTCATAGACTAATATTGTGAACTACATCTGGGACACTTTTGTCACTTTGGACCCAGAGCTGTAATTGATTTCTACCCATGATAACTGTAATTCTTTAAAGCACGATGGATTCTGATCAGTTGTTCTGATTCATTGTTTTCATCATTCATAAAGTGTGAAAGTGATTACAGTGATATCGTTCCTCTGTGCTGTTATTAAATTTATAACAATTTTTAAACTATATTTTATATAAATCTATATATTATTATATAGTTACTGGCCTTTGTGTGAATGGGCCTTACCCCTTGTCATCTGTTTCTGTCAGTTTTCTCTAGAAAATTCTCCATTAGTTAGACAGGCAAAGAGAGTCTGGGACTTGTGGAAGCCAGTAAAATGCTGCAAAGGAAGCCAAAAATGAAAGCTGTAATTGGCCTCTCACACAGCCTCAGATCCTTTGATTCTAGTTGAGTTGATTTGTTCTGGATGTTTACATTTCAATTCCTGCATCAGTTACAAGGACCCCCTACTTCCAGCTACGACTGATTGCTTGAAAAATAAAGGTGTGATTAGTTCATGTCTATCGTAATTCAGAAGTTCAGACACACTTGCACTAATGGCCTCTAACTCCATGCCTCATCTCTTTAATAGAGTATAATCCTTAGTGCAGAATTGTCAAAATCATTTATTTTGCATTAAAGTAAACACTGTATGTTTAGTATGAAACATTTCCAATTAAAAACTGAAGATTTTGTGACTTCATACCTCTTATTGTAAACTTTATCTCAAAATTACCTTTTGTACTTTTTATTCTGAGGTAAAAAAAAAATGGTTTCAATAGTTCAGTGACAGAAACAGATCACATTTTATCACATTTAAACCAACATGACTGCTTTGAACCAACATGTTACTTCAGGTTGGCATACACTCTTAAAAATAAAGCTTCTAAAAGGGGGGTTTCAAGCAATGCTATAGAAGAACGATTTTGCCCTAAAGAACCTTTCAGAGAACAATTTTTAAAAGAACCTTTTTTTCTAAGTCTGAAGGACATTTTAAAAATCTAAAGACTTTTTTTCTACTATAAAAATCTTTTGTGGAATGGAAAGGTTCCATGGATGTTAAAGGTTCTTCATGGAACCAACAATGCCGAAAAATAAACTTTATTTTTAAGACTGTTTGGTCGCACAAGGAAGTCCACTAAACTGGTTCTTTTTTAAGTACTCACATAACCCAAGATTAAGATTTCTTGGAGGGCATGGACAGATTGTTTCCCAACATCATAAACATAAACACAAACTAATATAGCTGCGGTGTACTGTGAATTACACAACCAATGCCAAAAAAAGTTCCAGAGTTGAGATTGTAAAGGGGCACTCTCAGTTCCACTTACTGTGTCTAAACATTTTCTCAATTGGTTACATATGTGTCCCTGCTTCTTACTGACAGTCACCAGATGGCCAAGCAAACAATACACTCCCCAGGCAGAAAGCCAACTTGTGGGGCAACTTTTTTTAACCTCAAACCTTTTTGGTTTGTGACCAAAGCCTTTAAATAGTGGAGTCAGAAGTCTCTCCGCCAGTGTCAGCGCCTCACAACATGTGGACAATCACAAGCACACTCCTGCTTACATGCTGCCTCCGGGCAGCTCTAATTCAGAGCCAGGATCACGACGACATCGAGCCTGGACACAGGAGGGATGTTTGGCAAGACGTGAATGAGTTTTTTACCAAAGGCACCAGAGATGAATGCAGCTTGAGCGTGACAGAACAAGGCAATCTGACGAAGCTCCGCATCACTTGCCTGGGCATGGAGCGCTCTTACTGGTGCGAATACCAGGGCAAGCCTCAGGTATGCCGCTCTTACAACAACAACCCGCTGCATTACTTCAGGCAGATCATGTGGGGCCTCCGCAAGCTGCCGAATGCTTGCCAGGGCCAGCGCATCCTCAAGCCTCTCATGTGCAGGAGAGCATCGGACGAGGCCCAGATGGTCTTCACAAGCGCTTCCTCATCACACGCCGAGCCAAAGGACAGGCCCTACAGACCTGTGCAGATGAGACCACAACGACGGGAGCAGAGGCCAAAGCCTACTAGACCACAAATATTAAGAACCCAACCAGCCAGAACTGCTCAGGACAAACCGAATCAACCCAAAGCTGTCAAATCCACCACACAGAGGAGAATTATTACACCCAAACCTACTGTACCACAACCAACTACGCAGGTACCCTTGAGTGAGGCCAAGAAACTTGCCCAGGACTACTGCTGGCACTCATTTCGGGGGGTGTGTTCCTTTGTCATAGGGTGGTTCAGAAACTAAGAAAAAGGTAGGATTTTTTGAAATGACCAAAAACTTTTATCAACATATCATATCCACCTTATTTTGAATGTAGGAGTGGTTGGTACATTTGTAAATTGAATGTGCAAGGCCTTCCTGTGTCATTCGCTTCCAGTTATTTTACTTGTCCAAAAACAGGTTGCTTGATATTGCAGACTGGTATTGATCATATTATTTTAATTCATTATCATATCTTAAATATTCACTGGTTTGCAACGCAAATATTTTTACTGCACCTTGTTATTCTTCTAGTTATTTACCTAATGAAAGTAAGTCTTGCACATTCAAAGAAAATAGCTTACTTCCTCCATGCAATATAATGGAAACTTGAAAATATGTATATACTGTATATGTGTATATCAATTCTGAATCTGAAACCTGTGTTTCCTCTCTTTATACCACTGCAGTCAATCACAATCCTGCAGACAACAAACCCCATTCAAGATGACTCCAAATGTCTAACAGCATGTAGGTTTTGGACTGACGGAGAGAAATGGAGGTGTGTGCTATGACTGGCAGGACTTTGGGAACACCATCAATATATTCTTATGTATTGTAAATGTACAGACTCTAATGTTATCAGAATTGACAAGATTACACTGCTAGTCATCAATGAATTTAGATGTTGAGCATAATGCTGGCATGTTTTGTTCTCCAACTGTAAACTATATGATGAGGAACTTCATGTGTACTGAATACTATAGGTGTATTAATCTTGCTATGTTATATATTTATGAGCGCTGACCAATTACGGGTCAGCATTTCTGAAAGCTGTGGAGCCACAGGTCACTTCAGACTGTAATAGATAAATTTGAAAAATGTGTAATGTAGCCTACATTAGATATATCTCTGTGTCTACTACATTTTATAGTGAAGTAGGTGATACTCAAATGTATAAATGTTTTGTGTTTGTTCTGAATAAATTTTGGTTCTTTACCTTTTCTTTTTGTGTGAGAGTGATTTGCATGAGTGTGAGAGTAGAGGGCGCTATTGTGTTAGAAAATACTTCGTACCTGAGAAACGTCTTTCAAGTGCAGGTCTGAGGGCATTTACCATACAAAATTTTATGGTAACCATAGTCCACCAAAATACTGTATTCAGTTGTTCATACAAAATATGTTATGCTATGTAGGCTATTTTATTACTGTTTAAACAGTTTAATTCATAGAAAGATTGTTAAAGTAGGGCAGGGCGCAGTCTATATGTTTGCTAAATTTACATATGCCTATTATACAATGTTTGTACAACATTTAGGCTATTTACATACAGATAACTGTATCATGTGAGAGTGAATTAAACTACATATAGGCCTATAGTTTCAGTAACAAGATGCTGTCTGTTGCTAATTGTAAATAGTGTTTGATTCGTTAATTGTTCTTTTGAGTCGGATCTTTTCGATCAGTTGAAACAGTTCATCGGTCTGAACGATTCTCGAGTCAACAACTCACGACTCGAATCGAGAACCGTCTTTTCCGAGCATACCCGATTCATGTTGATCCGAGACCAGAGTGAGCCGATAATATAACCTTCATGTTCTATTTAAATGGTCGCAAATAGCCTACGAGTTGTCGACAACTTGGAAGTTGCACATTAACTTAACATTAATAACATTAACATTAATTGTAGTTATGACTGTTAGGTATCAAAAATATATCCAAAGATCTCGGAGTATGACAACCCAGATAGCATGTATAGCCTAGTAATCGCCCGAGTTCGGCAGATGACTAAATAACCTGTCGCCATGGCGGAGAAGAGAACCGTTTCATTAGTGCATGGTAGGTTATTAATTTTCATTTTTTAAAATACAGCTGCATTATTCGCTGTTGTAGGCTATTCAGTCTTGTATATTTTGTCATTGTTGCATTATTGTAGCATTTACCCATCGTCCCTTGTCGTAGTTCCTGTTCTCCGACCGAGTCCGACTGTTCAAAAGAACCGATTCGCCGAAATGAATCTCGGGTCGGGGCTTTACGTGTGTTGTAGTTAGTAACAGTTTGGCAGAACATTCAAATGAAAGCTACCATTTTATGGAGTTTCTTTTGTACTATCACTTAATGAATTATAAATAAACCTAGACATGCCATCAAAAGTCAACGCTTGCCAAATTACTAATATCCCAGAACAAGACGCGTGCAAGAATATGAAGACTGAGGGAGGTGCGTGCGCGAGATGCTCTATAAATGGCAGTCACGAACTTTAGGTGCAAAACCAAAGATTTCACAGCTCTCTTGTATTGTTTTCGGTACAACCATTTGTGACCACAAATGTCACGAACAGTTTTTCCTGCAGTTGTTTGACAGTAATTCCGGTGAGGACATGAAATGCGTGACAGACATTGCTCTCGTTCTGACCTTCGCCTGTATCGTGCAGCAGTTCGCACAGGTGAGCAGCCTGAGAGACAGAGGGAGGAGAGCGCACACAGACGGGAAGGGGAAGAGAAGAGGTCAGCAGAATGAAAGTGGCCTGAAAGGAAGATTCTCTCTGAAGGACGGAGCGCGGTGCTCGTGGCTCGCGGCGCGCGGGGATGATGCGTTTGTATTGGGAGTCACGTGTAAAACCGGGGCAAAGATTTTCGGCTGCGAATATGTAGCGAAGCCCACAGCATGTCAACAATACGCATCCAATACCAAAGCCTACTGGAAACAGATCTCCCGTTCTCTGAAAAAGCAGAGTAGATTGTGTCGCGACTCTACGGCGATGGTCAAAGCCGGTATGTGCCGGAGCGCGCCCGCGGAAGCGCACTTCAGACTGAAGGACACGCGGCCCTCCTCCAGACTCCCGTTACCGACAACCGCGGGGAATAATCACTGTCCTGACCGGATCGAGAGGCAGAGAGTGGCCGAAGAATACTGCAGCAGCGCCTGGTCTTCACTGTGTACATTCCTCTTCTTGATGCTTGAGAATGATGAATGCTCGTGATTGACTTTGAAAAGACTTTTTCAAGACAATTTTATATTATATTAATTTCTGAATGAAATTAACTTCTCGCACTACTATTTTTTCCTATTTTGTGATTCATTATTAGCACTTAAAATTAACTTTACATAAATATGGCCAATATCCAAAAAAAAATACATTAATTCAGAAGCTGGAGGTTCATACCAAAATATGACACCGTGTATTTACATTTTGGTTTGCATAATATGAAAGTAATATGGTGACAAAAATTGGAGAAAAAAAAAATCTGGTTCTTCTGAAACTGTCTGCACAAGAAAATAAAACCTGAGATCACCTGTGCGGAGAAGCCAGTGGGCTCCACAAGATAAAATGTCTAAAGAAACATACTAAATAATGTCTAAATAATGAACAAAAATGTGTAAACGTTTGTTTGAAATATCAAAATTCAATAAAGTCCCCACTGTGACAGTAAAAACTAAATGTGTGTTTGTATGTTTGGTGTCTAGAGACACATGGTTGAAATGGAAATGAAATGGATATTGGTGTTTGTAATCGTACTGAGTGATCTCTGGAATAAAATGGCTAAGTTGTTTTGTTTTATTTTCTCTATTAGCCTATCTCTTATCCTCACTTGAATATGAATGTTCATGGCGGTTTGCAAAGGTTGTTCCAAGCATGGAAACTGGCAAGTGTAGAACTTAATACTTTGCTCCTATTACTTTGACCCAGATAGATCTCAAACCTAATCCTATTGATGGAGGTATTTGTGTGTGTGTGTGGTGTGCGCGTGCGCAGAGAGAGAGAGAGAGAGAGTAAAATTCTATGTGCAAAGTAGGGTTATTATTGTTAACCAGAAACATAAAAAAACTTTAAATGAAATAAATGATAACTGAAAATAAAAAATAAACTAACATAATAAAAATGTAATAAACTAAAACTAATAAATTAACATTTACATTTAAAATTCATATAAAAAATTAATTCAACTGCATCTCTGCATGACTTGTAGCTTTATCTCAGGTGAAGAGTGGCTGTTTGTTCTTGCATGTATTTTCAAGTAGAAACACTGAATGACTTTAGTGGTTTAAACCCAGATTAATTACTACAACAGTGATCATTGCATTCCAGCTCAAGCCATGTGCTTCTTTCCTAGTCATTACAAGAATTCTTGGAAATGGTTATTCTGCGAGTTCTAATGGGTGAACAAATGCAGTATAGAGCCCATGTTAACAACGTTCAGAGCTGGAGAGATGTCAAGACAACATGAACATTAAAAGCCTTAATTAGGTTTAATATTATTGTTAGCTATTTTTTATGATTGTTTGGCATAATTACTGTTATTGTAATTGGAAATGCTTCATTTTGTTATGTTTGCTTTTACGGTTTTACTCTTTCTTACAAACGAACCCTCTGAATTGGAGGGTTTGAATATGTTCTATGAAAGCAATAAATTACTGTTTTGAAGCTTCACATATAAACATATTTCAGGAAGCGGCTCTCTCTACAATACAAGTGGTCAGTCATGAACCAAACATTCAAGCACACAAAACTGATTTTAGCCTCTTGTGGGTTTTTGGTTGCCATACCAGCCTGTGATTATGACATTAAACACACTCACACATGTTGTGGCCTCTCCTTTCCAAAAACAACATTCCCACCAAAATTATGAACACGTTCAGAATCCATTATTGCAGTTTGCTGATGTTTTCAATCTGTCATTTAAAGAAAATCAACCGAAACATTTCTGGACTTCTAACTTGCAAGAAAGATAACTCAAGAAATAAGACAGTTTTAATACAGATAAAGGTAGAAATTCACAAATTTGCACACACACCCTTGGACATTGAGTAAAATGTGTTTACAAAACAGAACAGCAGAGGGAACATCTAGTGGAGTACAAATGCGCCCAAACAGGTATTCACATGAAGAATTAGTTTGCCTGTATTCCCATATAAATACTTGTTGCGTGACATTTAAGAATAAAAGAATTGCTTCGATTTCAGTTCTTTGGTCTTTTCATCTATTAATGAAGGAGTGGTGCTTACTTAAGTGTAGGATGCCAAGCGCTTTCTTCTCCCACTGAGATTAATTCAAACACTGCTCTCATGTAACCTCTCAAGGGGATCTTTTCCTGGTGGGTCCTGTAGGGTGTGGTTTCGTGAAGGGTTTCCATATGGCCTGAGGTGGCCTGATCTCACACCCTCACATACTGAATACTGATTGGCTAAAATAATGAACTTAATAAATTCCATCCTGGAAATAGTGGATTCCTCAATAGAAATTAGGGGCTTTGTGCTGAAAGTGCCAGCTTTGGGATTTAGTAAAGCGATTTAGAGCTTGTATCCACACACGCACGTTCCACATGGCACACATATATAAGAATGTGATCTTATAAGAGTCTCAACATCTTTGTAGCTCATACTGAGTTAAGAAATGTAATATTCAGCTGTACACTGTACAAGTAAAATAACAGTCACCTAAACTAATATAAATACATCTTCTTTGAATACCTCAGGAATGCATTTATTATCAGGTTATGTATGGTTTCAGTCTTGCTGAAGTAAAATATCTGAGGCAAACCCTTTGATCCCACATGATATCTTAACAGTAGCATCCAGTGTCAGTGGTAATGTATGAAGTAAAAGATTAGATTTCCCAGTGGGCAATTGACGCTGAAAAGAATTGACGTCAAAAAAAACAGGTCAAATATGCAAATCAAAATGACGTCAAAACATTGACATGATGTTGATTTGATGTAAACTGAATGTCAAACACATACCTACATATACATCAAAACCAGTTTCAGTGTGGGAATAAATTGCCGCCCAAACTGAATTTAAAATGATGTTACAAAATCTTGACTAATATTTGATGTCAAATTTATATCAAGTTGCCCACTTGGTTAGGTGAAAATTACTTATTAAATTTCCCAAACACTCTCTACAAAATAAGTAGTGGAAAATTTTGGTGAAATAAAAAATGTGGATGTCTTGATATGAAATCACAGTAACAAATATGTCATACTTTGTGTAGAGATTATGAAATAAAAGTTACTTGTTTGTGTTGTGTGTGTATGTGTGTGTGTGTGTGTGTACAGGTTTATATATCCTGGTGGGGACCTGAATACACACAGACTCATGGGGACTCGTGTGTTTCCTGTAAGGGGTAGGTTTAGGTGTAGGGTTGGTGTAGGGCAATAGAATATACGGTCTGTACAGCAGAAAAACCATTACGCCTATGGAGAGTCCCCACAAGGTGTGTGTGTGTGTGTGTGTGTTTGCGTGTTCTCAGGGAAGGGCCATTTATCTTGTTAACTCCCTTGCTTAACCCTTCAGTAATTTTCATTTGTGTGACTTAAGCTATTGTAAGTTTAACTTTAGCAGAAAAATATTTTAGAATGATAATATTCATGCAGGAGGAAATCATCTCAAGAAAAACTGCACTTGAGGGGTCAAAATATGCTGAGGGAGAATATGAACTATTTGTTAGAGAAATACTGCCATCTAGTGGAAAAAGTATTATTTTGGTCAACAGAAACAAAACGAGGAACTGCATATGACTTTACAAAACACCAATATGGTCCGTAATAACATTTTATTTTCAAGTCTTCACACAATTTTGAAACAATACACCAACCAAAACAATTCATTAACCTTTCTGAAACCATTAAGTTCTGTTAAAGAATCAGTACACAAACATCACACCAAAACCATTACACTACCCTCCTATTCTCCAACACTGAAACTACTTATTCTCAAATCATAAAACATAAAAGATGTCAAAATAAACACAAATGAAAAAATGAGCACAAGAAACCTGAAGATCATATAAGGACTTAAACTGATGTAAAAATTAGCACAAATGTTTTTTCTAATCATTACCACCACACAGGTAGTGCAGGGCCTTCTGGTAATCTCCTTCAGTGTCCTCCTAAAAATAAGGGTAAAAACAATGTTAAGATTTATTTGTGTTTGTGACAAAGTGTGTGTTTGCATAACTTGCCTGTATAGTGCTGTAGAGTGATTCTCCAAACTTCTTCTTGTATATCGCTCTGATGTCCAGCATATCCCGCTCACTTCTGGACACCATGATCCTTATGAGAGACTCGTCATCAGTGCCAGCACGCTGTAAATAAACAAACCAATGTGTGAAATCAGTTGTTTTATTATCATTCAGACCAACACATTCATTTAATAATCAGGCCACGAGTTGTTTTTATTTTTCCACTTGGAGTGTCAGCAATTGATAATTTGCAAATGATCAGCAAATGATCCAATTCATGATCAGAGGAGGAAAAAAACAGATGAGAATCTCATGGAAATAAGCCTTCATACCCGCATAGACTCTCGAATGGATTCGGCAAAATAAGCAGGCACACTTTTTGCACACTTAACTAAAGGGGGGAGAGAGAGAAACATAAGTTTTACATTTCAGTTAAAGGGACAGATCACCCTCCAGTGTCATTATTTACTCACCCTCATGTTGTTCTTAACCTGTATGCTATTATTAAAGTTATATAATATCAACAGTGATCATAAATATCATAAAAGCACCTTTATGTGTGGAACAGACTGACATTCAGATTATCTTCAAAAGCAATATTGTCAGTAAAAAAGAGACAAATTTCAGTTCATTCCTCACAAAAATTGGCTTCAGAAGACTTGATATTTGGAGTGTTTTTTGTTTTGTTTTGTTTCTTTGCCTTTTTTTAATTTTTTATTGGACCATGGTTGATGAAAATTGAACTGATCTTGAAGTAAAAATTCTCTAAAAATGTCTTCCACAGAAAAAATAACAGCATAAGGTCCTGGAATGACATGGTGAGTGTTACTTTTCTTTGCATTTTCTTGGATCTTGTGATCTTCTTAGTTCACATATTTATTCAAGCAATTGAATCTATTTTACCAGACCGAACTTTGCATGAACTATTCTTTTAAGTTTCATCATAGAGTGATGGTTCAGTCCATCCAAATAGCAAATGTACATTTAGCCACACAACAGGGATTTTCGTACCCACAGCCAGCAGCAGTGCTTCCAGGTTCCCAGTGCACTCATCTTTTATGCTCTCTTCAATGTCGCAGCCGGCAATCTTTTTGTAGGCATCAAACACTGAAACAGGGACACAGAAGCCATTAGGATGGCCCTTCAAGGCAGTTCTGAACGCATCAAAAGGCTTTGAACACACAAGCGTGCACCTTTTCTCAGGTGTTCGGCGCTCCTGTTGCCGAGTATGTTGATGAACTTGTCCTCGTCCGTACCGAATTTCTCCTCTCCAGCAGCAAACAGCTCCTGAAACACGATCAATGAACAAACACTTCTAAGGTTCGCAACTTAAACCTGAGGATCCAGTTACGTCTTTTCCATGTTTACATACGCAACTCTAATGATTAATCAAATACAGTTGGGTGCAATTTATAACAATGGATTCAAATCCCTTGCAATTTAAGTTGTGAAACACAAAAGGAGATATTAAGCACAATGTCCAAGCATCTGTGTTGAGTATAATAAAAGTGGATAGCGATTTACAGTACACTACCAAGCTCCCGAAAGGAGAAGATAGCACCATAAAAGCTCAAACAAATCATATTGTTTTAGACGACTTGTAATAAAGTGAATCAGTCATAGACTACTTTTATGATGGGCTTTTTGTCTTTTTTGGAGCTTCACAGCATACTTCACCATCCACTTTACATGGAAAATAGATGCTTTGATATTCTACCTAACGTCTCCTTTAGTATTTCACAGGAAAAAAATATATATATTTCAAATATGAGGGTGAGCAAGTGACAAAAATCACACAAAATGAAAATTACACTTTTTCTTTTGAGGAACACAAAAGAAGGTATTTTGTTTTAACATTACTGTTTTAACTGTTCATAGACATTTTTGTGAGGAGTAAATGTTTTATTTTAAGGGTAAACTGTCTTTTTAAGAAATTCATAATACTATATTCACTCATGACTATGAACTTTACCTTTGCATCTTTCTCCACTCTGCTCTCATCCACTCCCTCCTCCCTGTTTCCCTGAGTATAGGAAAAGAAACATAACCAAGGTCAGAGGACGTCACGGAAACATCAGCCCTCCTCCATCACCGCAAATATACTGAGACGGGGCATGGAATTTTTCCTAACCTGGTAAACTCCAATATTGAATTACCCACACTTTACCCCTGAGAACCATTTAATCTTCTCAACAACATTAACTCAAGAGCTGTTTTAATCACTTTAAGGATGACTTCACTGGTGCTCATGTTATCATTCCAAGAGGAAGCTGCTCTGTTTCATCTCTCTACCTTTTTTAGTATCCTCTCCCATCTCTTGCCCTAATTAACATTGACTGAAATTGTATATCACAGTATGAGAAATATTATATACTGGTAATTTAGTATTGATAGATATATCATGACAAGTTATTTTTGCTGGAAATTATACTAGAAATGGTTAATATATGTGTCAATGTCTCACACGTACATTTTTGATAATCCAGTGAATTAAATATTTTACAAATTAAAAGTACTAAATACTTTATTTGATTTTTTGACCTCATTTGATTACTTTATTTATTTTAAATGTGCTGCACAAAATCTATTATATACTTCATTCTACTTTTTTATATACTCTTTTTTTGTGCTCTCTCTCTCTCTCTGTATTTAAATATATAAATTTCTGATTATAAATTTCTTTTAGCTCTCCTTTATTTTTGATTTCTTTTTAAACTGATAGCCATTTCTTTACCTGTGCAAGGATCACCAGCAACCTCTGGTAATGTCCTGACGTATCACCCATGATGTCTTTTTCCAGCTTGCTTCCATATTCTAGGTCAAGACACATGAGACGGGATCTATTGACAGTTTACACTTATCTCGACAATTGCTGCTTAATTGCTGGTCCCATTGGATTAGTTTGATGGGAAGGGATCAGTTGTAACAGTGATGCCTTCTAGAGACTTGTGCTCCATATGGCCTGTTTGTTTGCAATACAATCAGTAAGGCATCTTTGCAGAAGGGAAACCCACAGTTTTACAAAAAAAATTACCCTTACCATTTGAAATGTATTATTTGGAGTGTTCAAAGTAAAATATAAATAGACATGATCATGCATCAACCTTACAATAGTGCATGATGAATGTTACCTTTCTTATAAGCTTTGGCAATATCTTTTATCTCATCACATGTCCTGGATGCCAGGATCTCGATTAAAACTTCGTCCTCTGTACCCACTCCCTGTAAGCAAATAAAAAATTAAAAAGATAACCAATCTAAAATGAGATAAGCTCAAGTTTATCATAATGGAAAAGAATTTTCATAACAATGTGTTTTTTATTCATTCTTTTTCTAGTTTTTAATTGTATAGACGATGGAAATGTTTGATGTTACCTTGATGGCTTTATGGAGTTCATGTGCATCATATAATATGGATGGATACATGAGGGCCACGATGAGATCCTCTAACTTCCCTCCCAGCTCTGACCGTAAGTCTTTCCCTAGATCCTGAAAACATGAGCCAAGAGGCAAAAGAAAATATATTGCCCATTAAACTGAAGATGTGAAACTCATTAGCATTTTATCATTGTTTTAGACGTTCATGACGGCACTGAATTATATCAACATCAATAAGAGGATGTGTGCAAAACAACAGTTCAAAATGAATAATCTTGATGTACTGCTATTAATGCACAGCAGTGCTACTAAGCAATTGAATGGAACAACAATCATGTTTAAATACCTTTTGTCTTAACTTTGAACAGCATTTTTATTGTGTTATCATTTTCAGAAGAAGATGTACTTAAAGTGAAAAGACATTTTTACATAATTTAGATTCAACAAACTAATTATTCCTTGTTTGACACTAGATAATAATGTCATTTGCTCACCTTGCCAAAAGCCTTTTTATAGGCTGCTTTTATTTCCTGTCTCTGGGCATTACTGCGAGCTGCCAGTAACATGAGGATGACATCTTCATCAGTGCCTGAAAATAAAGCATTATAGAAGAGGGCGAAAGTAAGATATAGTGTAAGAGTGAGCTGAAGATGTTTTTCTTTAGTCCACTGATCAGTATAATTTGCTAACAGCAATTACTAGTTATCACTGCATGATAGTTAGTTACCACTATGTTCTGGCTAATTATGATTGCTAATTGTGGAAGGAAAAACCACCTAGATCTTAACAAAAAGGGGTGAACTCTCTTAAAGGTCTGTCTTGTGAAACTTACCTATCCCTTTCATGGCCTTGCGTAAAACTTCTGCATCATGCTTTGCATTGAAGTTCACAAAGGGTTTCACACTTCCTCGGGTTGCCTGCAGAAAATACAAAACCAAAATGAATCTATTGCAAAAAAAATAATCATAATATAATATAAAGTAGATGTAGTACATGTGGTTCTATTCTAAAATGCATAACGTGTCAGGTTAACTAGATATCCTTTGAAGATTCACCAATAAGATCAAAATTATTTGCAGCCCTTACCGGTTGCCAGATATGTTCTCACATCAGAAAAGACAGTAGCTTTATAAAGTGTGCAGGACAAAATATTTTTTTTATATTGAACCAAAGGCACAAAACCAGGTTTTGGTATTTGCAGACTGAATAGGAAAATGTCAAACAAAAATAATTAACATGCATAATCATTCAAGGCACTAAAAAACATTAAAGACATGTGGAGCAGGTGAATTCTGAATGGATTAGCCAGCGCAGGTGTTTGAGAATATGAGAAACATCAACCTCATTTATTAAACTCATGCATGCAATGGCTCATGTCTCTCATCATTACCATGTGTAAACATTGAATATATATTTAGCAGACAGATATGAACCAATAACAGTGGAAACTGTTTGCAATAATTGTGCTCTCAGTCTCTAGATGACCTTTCAAAGGCTGGAAGCAACCATTTCCACATTTCTTGTTTACATTGCGATTGTATCTTTCTGGTAACCCTTCTGTAAACACTATATACACACAGAGTATCTGTAATCCATACACGACTGATTAAAGATAGACCAAGATTGCAGCTCAGGTTAATGATAGTGCTACAGTGAAGAATGAGATAAGGTATAGGGTTTGGGTTTAGGGTTCAAGTTCAGGTTGAAAGTTAGGGATCAGTTAACCCCGAGACCTTCAGTCTGATTTGATACCAAAAGCAGTTGCGTTAATCTTTCCTTGCTGTTATGATTTCTATAATAAAGTGCTATGACAACACACATACATCTTACACCTAGAAAAACAGCCCGTGTCATAGCATTAAACTTTTAAGAAACAACACACGATATGCCAGCCCAAGCATGGCTAATCCTTGTAGATGTCCTACAGTATATGGGTGTTTGCTTGGTTCTGGCAGGTGTGGGATGATAAAGCTACAGTGACCTGTTCGGTGGGTTTCCTCAGTCTGATCTGATACCGGTCTCATCTGCTGTAATACAATCATCCATCACCTTAACCACCATGGTGACTTAACCGTCACCATGCCAACATAGATCTGATAACTTAACCCTTGAATTCTAATTTATTTATAACTGCCCCTGTTATTTATTTATTTATGATACTAATGATTTTTACAGTTATAATAATACTTGTATTTGTATACTTCTAGTTAAACCATTAGTTAAACTGGTTTCAAAAACAATGTTTTAAGCTTAGAGTTAAGCCAGCAAAACAAGACACAAGACAAAGACCCAAATTAGCCTAATAAAACTCATCATAAACTAAAATATTAATACAAATAGTGGTACAAATGCAAAATTATACAAATGCAGCTCAGCACTTACCATTTGTACAGGCACAGGCAGCACTATGTTCAGTTCTGGAAAAGAAAAGAAAAAGAGTAGACTACATAAAGTTATCATTATCAGAACAGTTCAGCAGCAATTGAAACTCGTTACGTTGTGATGTGAAATTTCACGTCCTAGAATCCACAGTAGCCAAATGGCTTTAAGACTGTACATAAATAATTCCTGTCATTTACTCATTTAAGCTACGCTGTTACAATACGTTATCTATTCAGTACAGCGAGCACCCCTACCTGTTGCTGTATTCAGTCACCTGTGCACGAGAGGTCAGACTTCTGGCGCGTGTCAACAGTCAGCGAAGTTGTTGTAGCTGGATGAAGGACACGCCCTCAAAACCAGTTGTCAATCATATTGACTGACGTGGAGAACACAGTAAGACGATAGTTGTCAATACTGTAGGCTTTATATTCGGTGTCCTTGTCTTCTAAAGGGTTTTAATTATTGTTATTCAAAAAAAGTCAATAGTTATATAGGAATGACCATGAGATGCGTAGATCCGTTTGAATCTCTTTTACAGCAAAACTCCAAACGTCCACAAGTGGCCAGTACAGGGCGAAATTTGGGCACTTTTTATCTGTTATATATATATATATATATAATACATATGTATATAATACATTTAATTTTGCTACATTTCCACAACAATGTAATTTCCATCACATGACTCGTTTGTTTTGGATAATTTCATAGCTATCAAAATAGTTATGTAATAAAATAGCAATAAAAAATATGTAATTTTTGCATACTTATTCTTTTTTTGCATTATAGCTAGTGTACTTTGGTTCAATTGTATAAGTTGTTGTTTGTGTGCAGACTAAAGATATTCTAAATGTTTTCTTAAGATGACGTTCAGATGATGTTTGCTCAGCTTTGAACATAATCGATAGTTTGAATATTATTCATTATAGAAGCATCAGGCTTTGACAGAAGTAATAACCAGAACACGGAGAACCCCTCTCCGAAAACTGATTGATGGGCAATATAGTAGATATATTGCTTTGGCCTTCCTTTAAGAATTATGTTTTTGTCAGAGCCTTTTAATTATATGCTTATTTTATTTATGTGATTTATACACCACTTCTACACAGCAAAATAAACCTTACTTTTCTGTTTTAAGGTGATGTGTAAATAAACCATGCTCATTGCTTGCCAGGCAAGAGAGAGACAGGAATATTAAGATTCATAATTATCAATCAATTACTAATGCGTCAGTGGCTGAAGTGCACTAAAGTTCACTCATACTACATGTAAGTATCCCTCATCAAATAGAAGAACCCTGCTGTTTGTTTGGCTAAATTGCTCAAGTATGTATGCAGTGTGGTGTGAATTTAATTTTCTCATTTGCATCATGCACATAAACACACAATGTGAGTGGTTTAAAAAAAAGCAACAGAGTTTACTTCATTGGGATTCATGCTGACTGAACCATGCGTGCACACATACATGCAAAGTATATCATTTGTTTTAGGTTTTTTGGTTTATTTAACTTTATTCACTTTAGTGTGCCAAAGAAAGGACAATAAAAGATTACTAAAAGAGAGGCAAGAAAGCAGAGTAAAAAATATAAAAAGGCACACTTTTTTTGTTTTACAACACAAACAGTATGTCTGAACATTAAACCGTATTGAGTATGACAGGTCTCCATTGTTAGTTAGCAATTCCAAAAGGAATTCAGGGTTGCATTATGGAAAATCGTTTTTCAATTGAGACATTTTCTCAATATGCGACATAATTGATTTCACTCTTTTATTAATAAATAACCCTCTTCATGCCAAGAACAAACAGTAGAAAAAAAAATCTATTCCTGAAACTAGTTAGCAGACATATTGACTGACCTTTTAATTAATGTGTGTGTGTGTGTGTGTGTGTGTGTGTGTGTGTGTGTGTGTGTGTGTGAGTGAATAGTATTGGCTTTACAAACTATATGTTGAAACTCTGTCTAGTCAGTAATCTATTTTTACAAAGAACTGATGTCAGAATAACATTTTTATCAGTAAAAGAAAACACGCGTTTCCTAAACAGAATTGTGTCTGCTGAAACATAAAGCATTTGCCATACTATAGATTAATAAATAGTCAGTAAATACATCTCACATTTCCATTGCAAAGCTTTAAAAGTCCTCAATACAATTTTTCAGTCTTTCATCCATCCCAGGCACAGTATTTGCTGTCACATCTTTCATTGTCCAGCAGCTTCAGAAATCAGAGCTGTATGCAAATCCTCCAAAAGTCTCTTTTTTCATCTTTATCCATGATGTTTCTCTCTCAGAACACGCGATGTCTGCGGGAGCCCAGATGTGGCTGCAGGGTGCTATTGCCTACAGAGTTCCTGAGCTGTTTCAGCAGCATCCACAGAAGAAGTCCCATCAGAACCAGCAATACTGTGATGAGCCCCACATACACACTTACGTTCCAGCCCCATCCTGCTGTAAGAGGCAAGGAGGTGGATGCCACCAGGAACCTCCTCGGGGAGGGCATCAGTTGCAATAAAATTGCATAAAACTACTGCAGCCCTTTACGGATTCCTGAGATCAAGCAGTGTGACAGTTCATTCACTTGCTGTGTAAGATTTATCCATGACAGGTGCTCTTCAAGTCTTCTGTCATTAAATCTTTATAATCCAAAAGGAAGCATGCTGTGTCTCTTTGGTGTTGTGCAAAATGAGAATGATGCTTGAAGTCCTCTCTGCAGCTGCGCCCCCTCCTACTGTTGTTGAGTCACATCCACACCCCTTCATCCACTCCTGTGTGTGACCAACATGTCCCCACAAAATAAAACCTAAAATGGCCATTAAAAATGCTTAATAATCTAATAAAGAAAATCAATGTTTATATGTTATATATAAAAACATCAACAAAAGATCAATATGATTGGGTTTCTTAAGCCAGCCTTTGGTCTGTTTGCAGGTTTTCAATGGGTTTTGGACACTTTCAGCTGAACACCAACCTAGCTTGACCAGTCTGGGATACCAACTATGCCTAAAACCAGACAAAAATGTATTATTTTTAATAAATAAAATGTATTATAAACAAAATGAATGTCTTTTCAGCAGAGCTCCTCTAAGTTGTTGTTGACATATAGGCCTATGCTTCAATAACAAGTTGGACAAAATAAAATTAGAACTAAATATCTGAGTTGAAATAGCCTAATTAATGAAATAACTATTCCAACTCAGGTTTTAATTATTTAATACCATTTAAATATTCAATTATTGGGAAAAATAGAACTAGAAGCATGATAAAAAAACATTTTATATACATTTATATAATGTGTAGGAAATTATTTAATGTTTTTATCAGGCTTTTATGGCATCAGGGGAAAAAATGTAGTTCAGATGCTTTTTTAAAAGCTTTAGATAGATAGATAGATAGATAGATAGATAGATAGATAGATAGATTGATTTAAAAATACAGTATTTTCAGTGTTTTGAACGAATCGCATTACGTTTTCTGTTACCATGGTAACCAGAGATAGTTTGGGTGGCTGACAAACATGGCGCTGCTGAGGAAACGTGTTAGCTGCAAACAACAACACGTTTGCTGCTGCTATACTTAGCCGGATTATTATTTTTGTCCGCGAAGGGAAGCATATCGTTTGGATACATGTCTATGAAAAGGCGGTATAGTTTTTATTCCCCTACATGTTAACGTGACGTGAATGATCTTGTAAAGCGGACCAACTGACACAGCTAACGTTAGCCACATCATCCGCAGCAGAATCAGCCACTAACTAACTAATCCGCAGGATAATCCAGTCGGCTGTGACGACTAGCCAGGGCCACTGTGTTGTATGTCCATCAGAAAAGCTCGAAATATATATTTATTTTTCAAAGTACTATCTTGGGGAATGAATAATAGAGAACTGTACTGGAGCATCTTCAAATATCAACGCTAAATAGAAAACGGTTAACTTAACCTGTGACAATTCAAAAGGATCTGTGTAGTGATTATTCTAACAAACGAGATGGAATTGAATTTAAACCACGTTGATTATCTCCAGGTAAGGTCTCAACATCTCTATGTATTTGTACATCTGTGATTTACAGTGGCAAATGGGCACTTGGTTGTTTAAAATGCAAACTTGTAAGGTCTGTGGCTGAGACATTTAGGAATCTTAAATATTAATTATCAGAAAGGAAATTTACTAATGGCCATGTCATCTTTGTTTTCTCAGGTTGGAGTGACAGCTCAAAAAACCATGAAACTTCTCCCAACTGTGGGGCGAAAAGCAACTCAAAAGGTATATCTTCATCCCTTTTAAAAGAATATAACAGGTTTAGCATAAATCAAGCTTGTCAAGACCATCTGTTCACAGAAAATAATTACTACTATTCATCATATAACACAAATAATATTACTCATTCCTCACAGTGCTGACAGTTATGCAAAACAACATTAAATTAAAAGTAATTACATTGAACAAGGAATATTCTTTTAACAGGAAAGTCAATCTTAAAACTTACTATCAAGTCTAGGAAATAAGGTATTAATATCTGTAACAGAAATGTACTGTCTGATAAACTTTCCATAGTTTCAGGGCTTAATTACGTTTCTGCTGTAGACTATTTTAGGGGCTTACTTTGTAAAACAAGGGTGCTAGAGATTAGATCCCACTCGTGAAAGAGCATTCGACATGTCCTATTTATTTGAGCATGTGCTTGACATTTCTCCCCCACTCAGTCAAACAGGGAACAAGCATTTGTCTATAAGCAACCTGATGGCATTTTCTCATTTCAGGTGGCTGTTGCAGATCATGATGGTGTTGTGACTTGTTTTGGAATGAAAAAAGGGGAGGCTGTGGTATGTATCATAAGTGTTTCCTGTTTTTAGTAAACACTAGCATTTAAAAGTTTGGGTCAGTAAGATGTTGAAAGAAATTAACACTTTAATTCCGCAAGGATGCATCAAATTGATCAAAAGTGATAGTAAAGACATTTATGATGTTAAAAATATGTCTGTTTCAAATAATAAATGCTGTTCTTTTGAACATTCTATTCATCAAAAATTCCTGAGGAAAAAAATGTATCTCGTTATCCACAAAAATATTAAGCAGCACAACTGTTTTCAACATTGATAATTATAAGAAATAATTCTTGAATACCAACAAAATGAAACAATATTTTTTTCTCATTTATGAGAATAAATGTATGTCTTTTTTTTTGTCAGCCTGTGTTCAAATCGCTCCCAGGACAGAAGATCTCCAGACTTGAGCTTGGAGGGGCTTTGGGAACCCCGCAGGAAAAGATCTTTGTGAGCTCAGGCTCTGAAGTGAGGGGATATACTAAAAAGGGCAAACAGTTTCTTACATTTGAAGCCAACCTAACAGAGAGCATAAATGC